CTGGGTGGAAACACTCAGAGGTGGGATTGTCCCTGCACGAGGAATGTGGTACAAACACGGACTGCAAGATCCTCCAATGCAAATTTGGAAAGTGGAAAGCTACTCGGAAGCAATGCAAATTCCTTCTACATGTCGGGAAGTGAAAGATGGATTGACATCTCTGGGGACTGCTCTCACAATGGCAGTATTACCAAACCCTTTACCGCCAGCTCCCGTCTTGGTGCCTGTGTGTGTGGTAGAACAAACTGATGGGCATTGCCCTTTTTGTCTCTGTCAACCCTCGTACTCCTTGTCTGTAGATCCTAGAGACTGGGGCTGGGAACATCCATTGCAGACGAATAAAATCGTCCCCTTGGGCCTTTGCACAATTACTCCACCAAACTGGGGTACCAACTTTCCAAACCACAAGTTGGTGTTTAACTGGATAGTTACTAGAAGGTGGCCGGCGACTGGTTGGGTGATGGACTCCCTGCTCAGCCTGATCAAAGCCTTGCCCTTTTTTTGGGAACTCCTTATGGATTTACAAGTGGTCAAGCATGCTAGCTTCCTTTGGCTCATCATGCATCAGGCGGCCCCTGTTGCCGCTTGGTGTGCCAGACGGACTGCCAAAGCCCACCCAGAATGCCAGATCTGCCCAGGCACCAGGATGGAGGACCTGCAACACATTTTGTTGCAATGTGACATCGCACGACCATTCGGGGATTGGTGGAGGAACGCAAACATTCCTGTCCCTGGCAGAGCATCCGGATGGACCGGATCGGTCCATTCTGCTTGGAACGGCGTCCAGACCAGCGCCACTGTCTGTGGGCTTTGCATACGGGGAAGAGACACTCAGAGGAGCAATACTATGGACCCTATGGACACTGAGGAACGCAGTGATCAGGAGGGGTGAGAGAATTATACCACCAATTGTGCGGGCAGAAGTTAAACAGACACTATCAAGCAGACAATCATGACCGACTGGGAGTACCAAGTGCAAGGGAAAGGGCACTCAGAGAAAGCTATGCAGTTCGTTGATACTTGATGGGCTGTGTTTAACGGACTGGTTACTCCGGAGCATCAGCAAGGCCAACGGCCTTACCTACGCTTCTCAGGCTTCTTTTTGTGACCCATTTTCACTCGGTTTTGATTTGCCTCCCTCCCCCCCCCCCCCCCCCCCCCGTTTTTTTTGTTTTTTTTTTGGGAGTGAGGCTTTTGTGTTCACTTGTAGGCAGGTATCTGTTCGTAGTTCGGAGGATAGCCAGGCAGTAGATTGTTTGCATACAGATGAGAAGACGGGGTATAATTTCTGCTACAGTCATGACCTGGGCTTTGCTTGGCCGGATAGCTTTGCTCGGCTGGAGAGCTTTACTCGGCCGGAGAGCTTTGCTCAGCCTGAGGGGTGTGGCAAACTTTGTGACGGATGCCGGGCACTGAGTAGTAGCAGTAGCCTTTTTTCTTGTTCAAAGCTTTTTTTTGGAAGTAGCACTCCTAAGTTACAATGAAGCGCGCTCCCGCTTATCATTACTGTTTGGTTGTGAAGCCACCCTACGCTTCCAAGGTTGTGGCTATGATTTGATTGCGTCATCCTGTATCATGTGCCGGGCAGGCCCGGCACCAATGCGCATGCCTTTTTTTTTTTTTTTTTTTTTTTTTTT